CCCCTCAAAATAACTCAACACACAACAAAAGTGAGTACACCTCGAAGTGAAAATGCCATTTTCCCTCCCCGGTGTCATGTGACCCGTTAGTGTTACAGGTGTGAATGGGGAGCAGGTGTGTTAAATGTATCGCTCTCACACTCTCTCATACTGGTCACTGGAAGTTCAACACTGTGGAGTTACAGTTCACTGAGGGAACCATGAATGACAACAAGTACTGCGACATACCGAAGCAGAGCGTGATCTGGGCCGCAGGGCAGTATTCCAACATGATAACGACCCCAAACACTCCTCCAAGACGACCACTGCCTTGCTAAAGAGGCTGAGGGTAAAGGTGATGGACTGGCCCGGCGTGTCTCCACACCTAAACCCTACTGAGCGTCTGTGGGGGATCCTCAAACTGAAGGTCTCTAACATCCACCAGCTCCGTCATGTCGTCATGGGGGAGTGGAAGAGGAGTACACTGACGACTTTACATTGAATCACAGTGTCTTCATCGGTGTCACGTGTGAAGATATAATGAAATATTTGCAGAAATGTGAGTGTACTCACTTTTGTGATATAAAGGTATGTATATAAAGGGACTTCATTTTAACAGTTGGTGGGCACATATGTTACTGAACTAACGGAGCTATTGCTTCCTCCACACGTTGTTCTGTTGTGTGTTCAGATATATTCAATGTGTGTGTTTGCACCAGGCTTATTATAGTTGTCTAAAACTAAACTTAAAAACTAAAACTAGGTGTGAATAAACATTTTAGTTTACTGAAAGAAACAGAAAACTAACTGAAACGATTTTCTGTACAAAACTAACTAAACTCAAATAAAAATATTCGCGAAATGTCTTTAGTTTCTAGTTTTTGTCAATCTGGTTCAATTTATTGAAACTGGGAGTTGCATTCACAAAGTGTTTGTATTATATTGCTCCTGACAAATACAACCTTTATTACAGTAAACTAATACTGAAACTAATAGAAACTTTAAGATTTAAAACAAACGAACCCCCTCCTCTGTACTGAAACTGAATACAGAACTATAATAATAACTCCGGTTCAACCTCTGCAGATCCACTGGAAGCTGTGTGTGTTCTGCCTGCTGTGTGAGGCGTACCTCAGGTGGTCGGCGCTCCACGGCTCCGAGCAGAGCAGCGACCCCGCCGACATCATCAGGTACACCAAGGAATGGGAGTTCTACGGCATGTTTGGATTGGCGGCGCTCGGTAAGATGATAGAACCAGAACAACCTGCGAACAACACAAGCTGACTGATCTTTGGTCTCTCTATCTAAGCTCTGAGAACTGGATTAAAATAAAGGAATGAGTGTAATGTAATACAGAGTATTCTCATACAGATTAACCATTAAACAAACACCTCACTGAACTGCATTATCCATCACTTTCTAAGGTTATAAGCTGTTCACTTTACACAGAACTCACTTGTTGAACATTCACTGAAACTGGGGGAGTCAGAAAGGAAACTTCCAGCTTTGGTTTATTATACAGATCCTGTTAAACATACTGTGTGTTCTTCATTATATTTATGTTAATCAATAAAAATAGGATTTATTAAAACTAATAATTTATTTTGCACACAATTTTGTCTTCAAATCACTTGACATTGAATTGTTTTAATTATATAAAACAGAAAATCAGCAAATCGTCACATTTTAGAAGCTTGAACCGAAGAATGTTTGACGTTTTCATTTGATAAATGACTTAATCAATAAAAAAACTGTTATTCAAGGAATAAAGGAAATGTATTTATCATTATACAACACCAGGCTGTTTGACAAAATGAAAGTTTCCAGTTTCTTTACGCTGCACACATAGAAAAAGATCATTAAATGTATTGAATAACAATGCTCTTGTTGGTATCACATCAGTGTTTAACACCTTACATGTACGATTAAATAAGTCTGTGTGTGTCTGGTGGTTGCGTAGAGCTGTCGGCGTTCTGCGGCGGCGTGCTGTGGTTCCTGTGGGCGGTGGTGGGTCGCCTGCGGGGCGGGACCCTCGAGCTCAGCCTGCTCCTCAGAGCCCTGCTGCTGTCCTGCTACGGCAAGGTCCTCCTCATCCCCGCCGTCATCTGGGAGCACGACTACTCCCCGCTCTGCCTGGGCCTCATCAAACTGTTTGTGCTCACCTCAAACTCACAGGCTATCAGAGGTACGATAATTATTACATAAACATATTCTCCATTTAAACAGAAGCTTTTAAAGGACACGAGCAGATATGCTGTAACTGATATTGGTGTTATTTTAAACTATATTTTAGTGCTTCCTTAAAAATG